GATACCCAAAATATGGCATAGGAGGGCTTTAGATGTGTCTATTACAAGTACAGGTGGAGGTTCCACAGGCTTCCCTCCTCAGGGACTAGAGACTAGATTAAGGGTCAGTGTATACCCCAATGAGCCTTGATTCCTACATTCCACTTGCACTGTGGGCCAAAGGAGCAAGCTTTAAACTCACAGAGAACTGATCTGTAACTCATCTTTCATTTTCTTTACAGCCACAGAATGTACATGGAAATAGGAAATTGATATAAATCATAACAATTCATTTAAGTCATGATAAAATCTTTGCAGGATTTTACTTCCTAGATTTTTTTTAGTGACAATTCTTTTTGTTTTTACTTCTGCTTGTCCCAGCTCACTTTTATACAGATAGTGTTTTTCCTCTCATTTTTTCTTTTCCCTGTAGTCTACAATGCTGTTTTTTTCATTTATTCATCAATCTATCGATATCTTTCCTATATCTATATCAATATAGATGTGTTCACTTAAAAGTAACCCATACATTTTTAATGGAGCATAAGAATGAAACTAAATAGGAAATATAATTTGAAGGCCAATGATCCACTAATTATGATCCACATAATTGAAATTAAAAACCTAAGTAGAAAATTTTAACCTCAAAATACTATGCAAATATTAGTACCTGATGAATGCAAGTCCCCCCCCCCCCCGTAACTTATTACAATGATAAAGAGCAAGAATAAAAACTTACCATATCTCTGAGAGTTTGACCTCTTGATCATTTTACTGACATTATCATAAGGGAATTTTCACTTTTTACAGGGCCAATATAACTAGATTTAAAAATTCATTCATGAGTCCTTCTAAGTTATGCCACTGGAAATTGAACAAGCCTGTCCATCTTTAGGTAGACAGAGAGATCCTTTGCTCCTGTAGCACAGACTGTAAGGTCTGTATACAGTTATATCTACAGACCTTATAGCCTGTATATAACTATATATGTATATACACACTATATATAGTCTGTGTGTGTGTGTGTATATATGTGTGTGTGTGTGTGTGTGTGTATATATATATATATCTCCTTTGCTTTTATTTCTACCAAAATAAGAGCACTTTTTGTGCTACCTCCCATCTTTAAGAGGAAGTTTATGGGCGGAGCAAAGGCATGATGAGACCTCGTAGAAGTCCCTGAAAGCTACTTCGTGTGTGCGTGTGTGTGTGTGTGTGTGTGTGTGTGTGCATGCATGTACATTTCATCTTTTCAAAATGTAAGAGTCATTCAATTGGGCTAGCAGAAAATTTCATTCTATGCCAGGAAAACAATTTTAAAAGACTCCTTGGCAGAAACTGAAAAATTAAACTAGCAAATGTACACATAAACCATATCTTTTCTCCCAATAACTAAGATAAGATTCAGCCTAGCAGCCAACTTGGCAGACTTTAAGTTGCTCAAAGTCATGCTTAATCCCTGCCTGCTGGCAAACTGTGGATCTTGATAGGTTTCTTTCTTTTCTGATGATAAACAATAAAATAAGAATTAAAAAATAATACCACAGAATAGAGAAACGGAAACAATCACCTGGTGACTCAGAGAAAGTTTACCTCTGAGAACTATCTTCCACAGAAATCAACTTAACAGGCAATTTACAAAGTTTCATTATTAAAGAAGAAAAAAAAAAACCTTACTAGAAAGGTAAAATTCATATTTGTATTCTGAAGTATGTAATTATAGAATACAATAGGTACAAACTTGTAGAATTTTAAAGGGAGATTTTGCTCAACCAAGAATTAATACTCAGAATAAATGCTGTTTACATAAAAAGGCAAAGGAGGCATATTTGGAACTCAACAATATATACAGTCATCCCTCAATATCCAGGGGGAATTGATTCCAGGATCCCCTGTAAATACCAAAATCCATGGATACTCACATCCTTTACATAAAATAGTGCAGTGTTTACATATGACCTACACATATCCCTTTATACACTTTAAATCATTTTTAGATTACTTATAATACCTAATGCAACGCAAATACTATGTAAATAGGTTCCAAATTATATTTTTTAGGAAATAATTACAGGAAGGAAAGTGTAAGTGTTCAGTACAGATGGTCCACTGTATTCTACATAGTCTTCTTGAAGAAGTTATTTCAAGATATATTCCATCTATCCTACACACCAGTGAAATGAATAAATGAACAATAGAGTGCTAAAATTTTAAGTACTAAGCAATACAAGTAGTGAAACGCTGATCTAGGCCTAAAAATATTGTAAAATTGATTAACAAACTAAATATAAATGTCAAAAATATTTTTATGAAAAAGGACTTATTTTTTGGTAATTCAAAATCATATTCTTGGTCAGATATGCTAATTTTATAATAAGTGAAAGTGAAGAAGATGAGAAAAGTAGTAGAAAAGAAACCAAAGTTCTCATGTCCAGTAGTTGGAACTCAAAATAATAATAAAATAATTTAAAACTGAGGGTATTATTCCAAATGCCCAAAGAAGATGTAACAGTGTCCAATTGTTATGTCTAAAAGACATAAACTATATGGTAAAATACATAAAAAGCCATAAATGGTAACAGAAACAGACAATTACCTATAACAATGCATCATAAATACCAAATGTCAACTAAAAAGAAAATAAATGGTTTGAAAGGCAGTCATTAAAAATTATGTTTACAAAGATATTTGGTTACATGATCAGATGCTTATGCTCATATTAAGTAAAAATGACAGAATTTGGGATCTAAATTCCAAATGTTCTTCTTGCTAATTATGTAAACTTGCAAGGTAATTAGCTTATAAGTCTAAATTGTACATTATAAAATGAGATGGTGATATGGTTTTGCTGTGTCCCCATCCAAATCTCATTTTGAATTGTAACTCCCACAATTCCCACATGCGGGAAGAATCCAGTGGGAGGTGATTGAATTATGGGGGCAGATCTTTCTCATGCTGTTCTCATGATAGTGAATAAGACTCATGAGATCTGATGATTTTAAAAACAGGATTTCCCTGCACAAGCTCTCTTCTCTTGCCTGCCACCATCCATGTAAGATATGACTTGCTCCTCCTTGCCTTCCATCATGATTGTGAGGTCTCCTGAACTATGTAAGTCCATTAAACCTGTTTCTTTTGTAAATTGCCCAGTCTTGGGTATGTCTTTATCAGCAGTATAAAAATGGACTAATGCAGATAGTAATAGTATCTTCCTTACATAGTTTTTGTAAAGACTAACAAAAATCACAAACTGTTTTGCAAAATGCCACATCCATACTAGTGTAAACATTCACTCAATCTTACCTACAATTATTATCATTAGTAGTAAAAATAAATCCCAGTGATATATCACTATCCCAGCACTTTGGGAGGCCGAGGCGGGTGGATCACGAGGTCAGGAGATCGAGACCATGCTGGTTAACATGGTGAAACCCCGTCTCTACTAAAAATACAAAAAACTAGCCGGGCGTGGTGGCGGGCGCCTGTAGTCTCAGCTGGTTGGGAGGCTGAGGCGGGAGAATGGCGTGAACCCGGGAGGCGGAGCTTGCAGTGAGCCGAGATCGCGCCACTGCACTCCAGCCTGGGAGCATAGCGAGACTCCGTCTAAAAAAAAAAAAAAAAAAAAAGAAACTGTATTAAGATTTCTTAGAGGTTTATTTCTGAATACTGGCATTATAAATGGATTCTTTTATTTTTAAGATATTTTCTTATATGTCTTAAATCCTAAATATCCTTTTAAAAATATATCTTTTCTACATCAGAAGAGATAAGATGTTATCGATAAACTGAAGTTCTTTTTTTTACACTTATTCTTCCTGTCTCACAAGAGACAATCATTATAAATGATAAAATAAATACATGAAATGTTTATTCAGCAATTTGTGATGGTTAATTTTATATGCCAACTTGACTGGGACACGGGGTGCCCAGATGTTTCATCACACATTATCCTAGGTCTGTCTGTTAGTGTGCTTTGGATGAGATTAACACTTGAATTAGTAAAGTGAGTGAAGTAGACTTCCCTCAGTCGTGTGGATGAACTCACTCTAATCGGTTGGCCAGAGTGGAACAAAAAGGCCAAACCTGACACAGGCAAAATAAACTTCACCTGCCTGATTGTTTGAACTGGGACATCGGTTTCTTCCTGCCTTTGGACATAAACTGAACCATCAGCACTTCCTGGGTCTGAAGCCTGCTGACATTTGGACTAGATGCACACCATGGGCTCTTGTGGATTTCCAGCTTGCCATCTGCAGATCTTAAGACTCATCGGTTTTTATAATTAAACAAGACCATTCCTTACAATAATCTCTCTATGTATTATATACATCCTATTAGTTCTGTTTTTCTGGAGAACTCTAACACACAACTCAAGATTAAATCATTCTCAAAATGTTACATAGTTTTCAACACACACATAGCATTGCTGGTGTTACTGTGCTTAAGGGACACCATATGGGGTAGAAAGAAGAAATTTCAAAAGTCATATCAGAATAATAAGATGCAGTAAATTGAAAAATGTCAGCAAAAGTTAATAAAATTGCCTTTAACACAGATCAATCAATCCAGTTAATTCACTATTTGAATAGTCTGTAAATTCCTTACAAGTCTTTTTGCCTCCCTCCTTGCTCTTCACCACTTAATGTAGATAACTGAATCAGGAAGCCATTTAAAGTCATTGTAGATCTATGTTGTGTGTCAACATACCATCTGTCTAATCAACGACAATGTATGTTTAGTTGCAACTGCTTAAAGTTCTCTTACGCTTCTGTGGCATATACTTATTTACATTTTTTACTAAATCACACATAGCAGTGAACTCCACAAAATATTATCATTGTCAATATTCCTCTGTATATTCGAAATTAATCAGTTAATAATTTATAGTCTAAAAAGAATTATATCTAAGTAATGATCTGAATTTCTCGTTCCAAGTCTCATTTTAATTCCTTTAGTCTCTTCTGCTTCTAGTATCCAGAAAGAGCCCAATAAACAATAAGGGTAACATGCAAAGAACTTACATGTGCAAGTTGTCCCATTTTCATCCAAAAGTTGATTATCAGCACAAGCACACACCCGGCCTCCTGGGATAGCCAAGCAAAGCGTACTACAGCCCCCATTATTTACTCGACACATATTGTCACCTGCAAGAGGAGGAAAACAAATGTGTCAGAGAACTCTGATTCACTTTCTTTCCAGGAGGTGAACATAGATGTAATTACATACACATATATGTGCTATGTATATTATATATTTAGCAATATAGTCAGGATTTCTGCCAAATCATAACTAAATTCATTAATGTTTGAAAATATGTGATGCATTGGTAGATAAGGATACGTTTCTCATTAATTGGAGGAGATAGAGGTCTGAGTGAAGTTAGGTACTAGGTGAGGAAAGAGAAAGAACAGAATGGTGTTTGTCTCGGATCGTTTTCCAGATTAGGCCTATTGTATTCAGGTCTGAGTTCTTTGGAAAGTAGACCACCAGCTCTCAGAATGTGGTTTTGGAGCCCCAGGAAACAGAAAGCAAATGAGTGTGGGAGCAAGGGTGGGGTATTCTTTTCTCTTGTGCAGTATACACCACAAAGTCCGTGTATTGAGGACTCCAGGAATCACAGGACATCTGTGAAGACTCAAAAATGAGCAGCCTTGCTGGTATAAGGTGAATGTCCAGTTCACAAGGGTGAAAGTGTTCTCCCGGTGGATCTAACGAGCAGAGGCACGAATGAGGTATACGATAGACATCAATTAAGCAGGCATGAGAGGAAATTCACAGAGGTGCTATTCACGAACCTATGTCAGGCACCCTTGCAGACTCTCAGATAAAATTGAGTAATTATGTTTAAATCAACAAGTAATAATTGTTCATAGTCATAGTGATATTTCAGTAAACATAATGTATAGTAATCAGATCAGGGTAATTGGCATATCCATAATCTCAAACATTTCTTATTTCTTTGTGTTGGGAACATTCAATATCCACCTTCCAAGTATTTGAAACTATATATCATCATTAACTATAATCATCCCACAGTGGTGTAGAACCTTGGAACTTATTCCTGCTATCTAGCTGTAATGTTGTATCCTTGAACAATTGTAAAGGTGTTGGTACAAATAAATACAATTTAGATTGCCAATTCATCTTACAGGTTGGAAAGGAAAGGAAGAAAGTGTATTTACACTTGTGCATCACTTAACGATGGGTATACATATTAAGAAATGTGTAATCACATCATTGTGCCAACATCATAGAGCATGCTTACACAAACCTAGATAGTAGAGCCTGCTGCGCACCTAGACTACATGATGCTAAAAAAATGTTAGCTAGATGGTCGGGTGCGGTGGCTCACGCCTGTAATCCCAGCACTTTGGGAGGCCGAGGCAGGCGGATCACGAGGTCAGGAGATCGAGACCATCCTGGCTAACACGGTGAAACCCCATCTCTACTAAAAATACAAAAAATTAGCTGGGCGTGGTGGTGGGCACCTGTAGTCCCAACTACTCCGGAGGCCGAGGCAGGAGAATGGCGTGAACCCAGGAGGCAGAGCTTGCAGTGAGCCCAGATCGCGCCACTGCACTCCAGCCTGGGCAACAGAGCCAGATTCCGTCTCAAAATAAATGAATAAATAAATAAAAATAAAGTTAGCTAGAAAAATATTTTATGTAAAAATGTCATCTTTAAAACATGTTTAAGTGACTACTTTTCAAACACAGTGCTAAAAAATTGTATACCTGTATATCAAATATTGCTTCTGGGCTACAGACCTGTACACAACATGTTATGGTACTGAATACTGTGAACAATTATAACACAATGATAATAGCATTTCTGTATCTGAACATACACAAGGTACAGTAAAAATACATTACCATTACCTTATAGGACCATCACCATACGTGCAGTCCATCATTGACTGAACCATCTCTATGCCACATATGACTATACTTACCTATAAATGTGTCAAACTTTAAAGAGAACGCAACACTAGCAATACAATCGGTAATATAATCGCAGGGTCACATTACTCTATGTTGCAGTTTGTTCAAAGTATCAATAAATAACATTTGGATTATATCAGAAGATTTCACTGAAACATTAAAAATAGCGAGCTTTTAATTACCTAGAGCCATACAATAAGAGAATAAAATGATTAAAGTGCAAATACCAGCAGTGTGATTAAAGTGACAGACTAGGTTGTAATACTGTGAGCCTCAGAGGTTGGATGTGCTATGTGGAGGATAATAAGACGTGAGAAAAAAACTCTAAAATGCTCCTTCATGCAATAAATATTCAATACATTACCACAGGTTATCATTGAGTGCCCACTGATCAGAAAAAATGACCTAAAGTATATTCTCGTTTCATTATCTTGAAAAATAAATTTAATTCACTGTGTTTATAACAAATTTAAAAATACATATGAAAGCCAAGAAAGCTAATAATTCATGCTACAGTATCAATTGCTGAACTCAGAGGGTAATTAAGCCTAATACAGAGTTTTTTTTAATAGGAAATGCATAAATGCTTTAAGCAGCTTCCAGATCAGGTCATGTTTATTCCACGATCATGGAATAAAAATGCAATGCTTCATAGAATGAATAGTTATTCTATGTTGTACACATTCTGTACAGGATGAAATAGTATATTTAATATTTTAGGAGCATTCAGATTCTGGAAAATTAGAATTAATTCAATATATTTTGAGAAATATATAAAGAATTTAAGCAGTAGGAAATAAGGAATTACTGACAACATATTGAAATGTTGAAATTATATGCTAAACATATTCTTTAATTCAGTGGTGTGCCTCATACCATTCTAAATGAATATGAAATTTAAGTACTTAAAAATAAATTAGCATTATTCAAACTTTGAAATATATTTATTTTCTGTTAATACTACATATTAAGAGAGAGGAATTGGTTATTTGTTCTCTCATAATAGAAATCCAAAATCTAAATTAATTTGAATAATTACGTATCTCTCCTCTGAAGGGCTTAGATCTTTTTTATTTTAATAGTGACCCAACATATTTTTGAATTTCATTAATATGTTCCAGACAGAGCTCATATGATAGTATTTTTTGAAGTTCCGAGAACTAGAAAAATATTTTATGTAAAAATATCCTCTTTAAAATATGTTTTAATGACTACTTTTCAAACACGGACCTATATATTAATTAAAATCATTAACATATTAATAGCTGTTGTTAATGAAAAATTAGAATCAATCCCAGAGCTAGTTACTTTACATATATATTATATTTTATTCAATTTTTAAAATAAAATTACAAGGAAGGTTTTTTCTCATTTACAGGTAGGAAAACTGAATATCTGAGCAACTAAATGACTCTTCCAATATGTAGAAATAGGAAATAATTCTTATTAATTATCATTTATTTCTAGATAATCATTATGATTATGTTTATTTATAAATAATTAGAAATAAGACTTTCTCTAAAATTGTGTTCTCAAACACTAACTTATTTATATATATTAAAATAAAATTAGATCAGAAAAGACATACTAAATATACCAAAACCAACAAAAGTCTGTTACTTTTAGGAAGCAGATAGTTTTTAAAAATCAAAGATGCAAGGAATGCAAATGAAGAATAGTTTTCAATATCTAGTTGAAGATGGATGTTTGGCTTCATCAAAAACTTTGTCTTTTTTTTCCCCAATCTTGTATCTTCCAGAAGCAAAATTATTCTCCACCTTACAAATAGTGCACGGCATAGAGTGTGTTTGATAAACATTAGTTAAATAAATAAGTGGTGAATGCAACTTTTTGTTAGTAGTTTGAATGACAAGAACAATCATTTGGAGTGCAGGCACAGGTATAAGTTTGTGGATAGATAGAACTTCCAAAGAATGGTAGTAAAGACACAAATAATATGTGAAAACATTTCACAAGCCTATATTAACATCTTAATGTTTTTAGACATTAGCAGTTTAGCTTTTGTTAATAAAGTATCTTTTTTTGAGCAAATGAGAGAATATAAAAACCAGCACAAAGGAATTCCATTGTTTCAGGCTTTCTTTAATCTGAATTTTCTTGAAAATTGAATAAAGAAAACTTGTTTTCTATGTATGTCCTGGACTCTTGACTTCTCAATGTCTTATCATAGGCAAAGTGAGAAATCTCTGAAGTTAATATAAAATATGTAAAACTATGGAGATTCTCTCTTTTTTTTCCTAACTAATGTAGGGATATTCGAGCTTGTAGTTTAGAAGGGGCAGTAGATATCTCATGTATTCCAAAGGTTAGATAAAGGCTAAGAGAGTGAGATCCCAAGGCCAGATGAATTATGCATTTAATCTAGTATAATTTCAGAAGAATTGATTTTGAACGATGTCAATCAATCTGAGGCAAGGATTAAATGTTTCTTACTTTTTCTTTCTTTCAAAATCAGATGCTCATTGAAGACTGTGTTTATATTTGACTTGCTCTGAAGCCACTTACATAAGTGTGTGTGTATAACTATATTAAGAGACTCCTTAAATTTTGTTTTTTTGGGTTTTTTTGTGAATATCTCAAAAATGAGAGATTTAAAAAGAAAGAAAAATTTTGTGATGATGGTCCCATCACCAAATCGAAAGGTTTTTATTAAACCTATAAAATAATGTGATTAATAAATATGTCATACATTAAATAAAAACTGCTGTGTCTCTTATATTAGTACTGTATAACCTAAAATCTCTAAATCCTGGATCTATAAAAGCAGTCAAGGGAAGTTTTATATTAAAAATATACATTTGAATATAAAACTCATCAGTGATAAAATTATAATGACCAAAGAAGATTCACATTCCTTTTCTTCTATCTAAAAGTATAGAAGATATATAATTTTGGAAATTAAATTGGCCACACAAATTAAACACAGAAAAATACTTTCTGGTCAAATGAATCTGAATCTGAATCTCAGTTTAATCCCTGGCTCACTCTGTTTCTTGAGGGCCAATGGCTACGTCTGTCTGATCCTTGGGTTTTTCATACATAAAATATAAATCAATAGTATCTATTTTAGATATATGTTGTGACAATTAAATAACAATGCTTAATCCACTTCCCAGTTTTAATAGTTACAGCTATTTCTTAGTTAATAAATATATTCTATTTGTCATAAAATAATAGGATACATTTAATCAACCCTTATTAAAATATTACTTAGTTTTGATTATCTCATTCCCCACAATGTACAAAAAATCAAAGTGTGCTTTTGAACCTGGAAAATGAAAATGAAAGACTATTATTTTACACAATTGCTGCTCTTTATGTGAGGAATAGCAGAAGAGAGCTTTAAAAACTTGTTCCAGATATCTAATGTTAATGAAAAAGGAAAGCTTATAAATTTTACCAGAAGAAATGACAGTAGTATCTGAGAAAAACATCCTGACACTAAATCCCTAAGAATTACTTAAGAATTCTTTCCTAGAGGTACCTTTCTGTTTAGTATGTTATGTATTTATATCTACCTTCCTGAAATTCGCTGGTATATTCCAAGTAACTTGACAAGTCTTTTTTGTTCTAGACAGAGTTTTGCTCTGTCACCCAGGCTGCAGTGCGTTGGCACATTTTCGGCTCAATGCAACCTCAGCCTCCCAAATTCAAGTCATTCTCCTGCCACAGCTTCCCGAGTAGCTAGGATTACAGGCTCCCACCACTGCCCCTGGCTAATTTTTGTATTTTTAGTAGTGATGGGGTTTCACCATGCTGTTCAGGCTGGTCTCAAACTCCTGACCTCAGGTAATCCACCCACCTCAGCCTGCCAAAGTGCTGGGATTACAGGTGTTAGCCACTGTGCCTGGCTGTTGACAAGTCTCTTCTAATGTGAGGAGTAAGGGGGCATCTGATTAGTTGACTAATGTTCTGACAATGAGTCTAAAATATTTAGATATCTCATTATTAGCATTCCCAAATATTTTTCATGATATTCTTGTCAGGTGGAGTGTGTGTGTGTGTGTGTGTATGTGTGTATTAATACTATCTATTCATACGTACAAAAACTATATATAAATATATATAGTTTATATATACTATATATAAATAAAGTCATATAGTTTGTACTCTCTCAGAGAGAGAGAGAGAGAGAGAGACTCTAAGGTTATATAAGATTAGTTTCTTTTATTCCATTAAGAAAAGGAGATATGTACTACTTAGAGATTTGGTTTTCTATTCAATTGCTAAATTTTATCCATAGGGGAAAAAAGAAAAACAGTCTAACAGGACAATATGAAACCAACATTTATGGGACATGGATCATCTATTTTCAAATATTTATTAATATCTGATGTTCAAAAGATGTAAAGAGTAACACCATTGGGAGAAAATTATAGTAAGACAAACTGCCCACATCTGGACATCTGAATATATTTTGCTTTATAATTCAGCTACTTTGATCAATGTAGTAAACGACACTAAAAATTTAGAACTCAAGTAGATTATCTAATATCAATGTCCCTTGAGAGAGTTAACAGTATTAACCAGGAATCCTTTCCATATTGTATTGCTTGATCAAACATATAGTTAAGTACTAGGTAATCCTTAGCTATATGAAGAAGTGGTAGAAAACTAAAATCAATTGATTAATTCAACTAAGTTAATAAAAATTATCAATCAATTAGTCTCAGTAGGTTCACTCAGTAAGACAAAACATTATAGTTTCTACAATAAAAATTGAAAAAGAATTTAGTAATTAGAGCTCAGTTTTTATTTTAATGTCCTGTCAATTAAAATGGGGAAAAACACTTTTAAAAGACCATTTTCCATCTAAGGAATAACACTGTACTATTATACATCAATGGCACCTTTCAGAACACCAAAAATATTATCTATCAGAGTTATGTACTTCATTGTATATTATTATGCTGCACTATTCCATTGAATATTTATTTAAAACGTCACTTTAAAAACAAATGCCTTTTATTAGAGAAATTATTAGGCAAGTTACGTATCATAATTTGTTTGTCAGGCACAGTGCTATGGAAGTTTTGCTTTTCAATAACAAATAGCTATTTAACCATCATGGAAATGTTATGGAGAAGGTATTTCTTATTTTTGTTAAATCTTTCATCATGAGTCCAAAGTTTTGAAAGGAGAAGTTGTTAGGACCCAGATCTAAGCCCAGGGCATTTTTCACTACATGTGTTGCATTTAGTTAAACAACTCACTAAAGCAACTGGAAGCTTTAAGAAACTGAAGATGGTAAAAATGTTATGGACTTTGGTGAGGGAAATTCAGCAATGACATTCAAGAGGAACAATTCTAAAGAGAAGGGAAATGGAAAATGTGACTGTATATTGATTGGACTGTGAAGTGAGAGAGAAGTATAATCCTGAAAAACAGATCTTTCACAATATGAAAAGGATTGTTTCTATTCATATCCTGGGCTCTTGTTCAGTGTAGGCAAACTATGGCAGTGTGGTGGGGGTGCAGGGTTTATATGAATATAGCAAAATATTACTTTTTAATCTATCCAGGCAATTATTTCCATTCCTCATTTCTTGTCCATAGCTATGGCTTGTGCCATCCACATAATTTTAGTTTTATTCTTTTAAAAGATAATTTTATCTTTTATCAGCTATTGATATTTCTCATTTATACATTTCCATTATTTTATACAATTGCATTTGTATTCCACTGAAGCAATGTTAATACAATGGGAAAAAACTGAAGCTTTATTGCTCTAGGATCACTTTTCTAGCTGAAGTATCTTAAAACACTCTGTTGCTAGATAATTTCCTATTGATAGCATATGTGTTAGGAAATTCATAATATAATTTATTCATCTTAAATGTACTGAACTGCATGTTCATTAAATTTTTACAAGGATATCCCTATTAAAAAAATGCAAAATGATTATTTAGACTCACAAAAAACCTACCACATAATGTACTAAACTGTTTTCTTTTTTCAGTACCTAAATTCTGAGTAATGCTATGTGCAGATGTCCTAATAAGTATTAATAACTCACACAAATAAAACATATTATCTGATTTTAAGAAGACACAAATATTGTGATAGATGGTTTTACTTTTGTGTCATCTAAAATAATTATGTGTTCCTTAAATTGCACTGAAACTAATCAGATAAACATACTAAGATACTTCTTAAAATAACATTTTTCTTGTATAATGCATCTTCAATTTTCAATAGTTTTCTTTTCAAACTAAGGAAGTTCTCACATTTAACCATTCTTACTCTTTAAAAACATTAAGATAATTGTTTTACTTTAAATAACTAACACAGCTTTCTTCAATGAAAATCACATGAAGAAAAGGAAACACTTGGAGAAAACCTTAAACCTCACTTATAGAGAATTCCCAGGGATAATCACTCAGGCTATTCAGAACAACAAAAAGTAAATTTCTATGATAACAAAGTCTGATTTGATTGACTTTGGAGCAAATTTGACATCTTTTTTCATAAAACTGTAGCAATGCTGTCAAGATAAACTTTTTAAAACTACTGCGAAGTATTATTATATGTGAATCTCAAAAGCATTTTTATTTGTTTTTTAATACCTTGTTGCTTTCGTGGATCATAAATCTGAAGCCCAAATAGGGGTGGTCTTTCATGCCTCAGCAATGTCACCTCACTCGTTATCAAGTCGAGTTGAAAAATGGAACCATTCATATAATCTGTCCAGAACACATAATTTCCATGATGCGACAGTCCAAAAGGGTGGTTCAGCTCTCTCCCACTGTAAACAACCTGTAAAATATAAACACATTGTGAAAAATCAGAACTTGACTTTAGAAACATAACCAGATATTTAGAGAAAGTGATACTCAATAAGTATAACAGATAATAATCTAATATCTTAACTCATTTTCTCTGATAGATTTGAAAAATGGATTTCACAATGTGAGCATATTTTTTTGTTTGTTTTAGGGCATGCTATTTGAAGGAAACCATCTATATTTTATCCATGTAAATTATTTCATCTATGGCACAAAAAATATGGTTAAGAATGCAAATATTAAAATGACTTTTCCCTACTCTCATTTCTGTTTCTTTTGCTTATGATATTTCAGTATCATATCCTGGGATAGAAAGCAATCTGAATAATCATGTGTATTACAACATTGCTCATCCAGTAACCAACAGATAGAAGATGTTCAAACAGCATTGGGAGTAAAAATAATCCTCTTACTTTAATTGGGCCAATGCAAATTTAAGAAATCTTGGATCTGACAGAAAAGGCGGTAAAGATTTTAATTTTAAACACAGACGCATTTATTCTTAGTAAATAGATAAAAATTCACTGGCAAATTAAATTCTGATTATGTTAATGTATTCACTTACATTCTAGTTATATTGTTTTGTTGTTCCTTAAATGGAAGAATCATGTGATAAAACTTTAAGTCCAGTTTCACATGAAGGATTGTAGAAGCGGAATAAATTATACCTCAATAATAATACTTTTTCACCTTTCACCACAAATAAAAATATATTGAATACAAGACGAAAAAGATTTTGTATTCACTTAATATTAGAGAATTAAGAAAATTATCTAAATAATTTAGGGTCAAAAATTTAAATTTCGCTCCTTTTAACTGAATTATTCTTACCAAATTATCATATATTGAATAATTGCCATGGTTTCTTAATTTTTTTCACCTTTTCATAAGCTAAAATATGCTGGCCATGAAAGTATTATGTTTATTGTTTACATACCAACATCTTCTAAGAAAGCATAAAGATTTATCTAGCACCTGTTAAGTATGTGACATTAGGTTAAATGCCAACCAATTGTACTTATTTGAAGAAAGTATTTACAGTATTGTTAGAGTCAATCAACATTGATTGATTAGTATTTCTTTCTAAAACAGAATCCATAATGAGTAGGCTTAGCCAAATATGTAGTTTTTCTTTCCAAAAAGAAAAGAAATACAACTTAAAGGAAGTGTTTTGGTCATTTCTAACATTCCCTTTTACTATTATTTAACTCATAAAGTCAGTTATTAGTGTTATGTGTAATTAGGTAACCAAAACATGAAATATAGAGGTTCTGTTTTGTCAGCTATGCCTCTGTCTCACAGCCAATTGCATCATCTTCAATTTTACCTAAGAATTTCAAAATCATTTTGCAGTTACTCTAGCAAAAAAAACAAGAGGAAACTGATACCTATTCATACCAATAAACTTGAAGTTCGGCTCATTCCTACTATGTGTTTAAGTTTCAATGTCACCAAGTTACTTATTCAATTAAATACAATGTAATTACTTCCTCATCATACATAATGTTAAACTTCAGCTGAAGATATTGAACACATTTTAATAGAGTGGGGTTGCTTGGTTGTAGAAAACTCATCAATAATGCAGAAAAACTGCATTTTAAAACAGCTCTGATATCCTGAGAGCTGCTTTTAAAAATCCCACAAATCCTGGCACACCACTGTGAGCTGGGCCTGATCTCCCAGAGGCAAGTGCCAGCTGCACTCCTTAATGCTCAGCCCCCTTCAGCCGCCCCATGGAGACCATTGGCAGCCACCTCAGAGGAGTAAAAATAAACTTGAAAGTATTTTTAACACAACACAACAAGGCTCTGTGAAAAAAAGAAGCCTGTGGGTTAAAAACAGCAGCATTTGTCTTTTACCTTCCTGTGAGTTCCATTCAAAAACACTTTTTCAATATGATCGTAATAGGCATCACACCAGTATAATGTGTTGGTGTGAAAGTCCAGAGTTAAACCATTTGGCCACAGCATCTTTGAAGTCACAAAAATCTGCCGATTGAATCCATCCATCCAGGCCTTCTCAATCCTTCCCACGCTGTCATCTATTTCATCTTCCTCCCAGTCTGTCCAATACATCCAACTAAGACATTAAAAATGCATATGTGTTATTACAACCAACCACAGTATAGACACTTCCTCAGATTTCACAGTTTCATAAATTCTAGTTTCATTCTGATTTGTCCTCCTATCTAAGTGTTTATCTGTCAAAGAGGGGGCAGCTGTGAAGTTTTAAGGAAAGCAAAGATTTGTTTGGTAGAACTGTGCATTTACACTTATTACAGAAAAGCCAACTGCCACCACTATCGCACTTACTGGCTTCACGCATTAATGAACCTGACAGTAAGTGCCAAATAGCTATTTTTGGGAGGTGTTGATACCAAGTATAGGAAATGATTTTCTGGGTCATTACTATTTTAAATGTTGTCCACCTCAAAAAGTATATCATCAATTACATATTTAAAAAGCAGATTGACTGACATGAGAATCCATGGCACAGTTAATGATCTACTCCAGACTTTAGTTAATCTCAGATGAATTATTATTTTTTAAGACAGGTAATTGAACTGCCTTTGTTCTAAAGGGCGTAGTCATACTGAGTTTGTTTGGCTAGGTCTGATTTGTCTTCCTGATGCAAATAATCTATGTTTTATTGCTGCTTATTATTACCCCAAAATCTAGAGAAGATGATTTATCTGCACATAAGTTTAGTAATAGCAAGTTGACTGACCTTGAGATTTTGAGCTTTAATTTCTATCTCAAACAAAAGCATCTGCCTTTAAAAACAAATCTTTTGTATAAGCTCTAACAGTAGGAGAGGGGGCCTTGAATGAATGTTCCAATTCCCTCATGAATGAGGTTAAAACCCACCACATGGGTTGTTTTAGGGTCATGTGAAAGTTCTTGAGTTCATTAATTAAAGTGTAGGTTTAATCCAGTCATCTCATATACAACTTTATAAAGTCTCAAATTTTTTCTAAGCTGCTGACCCTTGAAATACCCTTATTAGATCCCCTGCCTCCCCCATTTTGTAGACCCTAAGAATTTCTAAGTGCATTTGGAAAAAGTCTGTCACCATGACGAAAAATCCTACTGTGATCTAAACTGGCTGACTTGGGAAAACTGAGGATGAACACATTACCCATTATTTCAAACCAATTAAGCTCTTTTTAAATTCTCTTAACGGTTTCCAATTATGTTGATATGCCTTTTCAGACCCAAGGAAGTATACTGAGACTGTTGAATTGTATTAATCCTAGAAATAAACACGGAAATATTTATATCTTGTGTCTTGTACTTCCTTAAAGTGATTTTTGAATTAGGACAACTTAGTAACAAAAAGGATAGTCATTCTGTTTGCTCTAATTCTATGTTAGTTAGGTATAACTACTTGACATCAGCTATATAAATGAACTATACAAAGGCGAAGCATGCAATCTTTTCATCTCTATTGATATTTTCCTGAAATATTTTTATATAAAGTTGATCAATGCAGTTTTACTTTTGCTAATTTATGACTTATTAATATTGCAGTTATCTTACCCTACAGCTTCTATTTTTGATCATGGCAATACATTTTTTCTGTGACCCAAATCACACATACATGTGCCTGTGTGTGCACACGCACACACACACACACGCACACACGAAATAAATCTGGATATTCTAAATATACTGCATATTCTTTAACTATTTGAAAAAAGAAATTGTTCACCAACTGACCCATCACTTAAAATTATTTTTATTTAAACAAAATACAAGAAAATTATTTTTCTAAGTAATGCCAATCTGAGAGAGGTTATATATACATACATACATATATATATGTGTGTGTGTGTGTATATATATATATGCTTAAATGTATATTGTGGGCCAGGCACCATGGCTCATGTGTGTAATCCCAGCACTTTGGGAGGTTGAGGCAGGTGAATTACTTGAACCCAGGAGTTTGAGACCTATCTGAGCAACATGGCAAAACCTCATCTCTACAAAAAAATACAAAAAGTAGCCAGGCATGGTAGCTTGTGCCTGTAATTCCAACTAGTCTCAAAGCTGAGGTGGGAGAATTTTTTGATCACTTGAGCCCAGGCTATCAAGGCTGTCGTGAGCCAAGATTATACCACTGCACTCCAGCCTGGGTAACAGAATGAGATCCTGTCTCAAAAAAATAAAAATAAGAATAAAAAATAATATGAAAGCTTTGCAATCAATACCAAATGATGAGAATTCTTAAACACACAAAATAGAAATATAACCTATAAAATAGGCAGGAACTAATACAAGTATTTTTTCTAGGTGGAACTCTGAGTATTCTTCACATAAAACATAGGTTAATCTGGCCTGCTAATACAGCAAGAAAAATTCTACTTTCTATTTCAAGCCCTGTTCGAATGTAATTATCTGATGAAGACTATCCCCAGCCTTTGTGGAGATGAGTCAAAATAAGCTCTTTCCTCTGTTTATGAATAACACTGTCTAGTTTTAAATAATATTTATTGCACTTATTCCTTGTATATAGGGACAGTTGGTAGGAAGACAATACAGGGATGCAGATATTGTCTCAATGAAAAAAATACTCTATTAATCAGAATTGCCTTCAAATAGTTTGAAGTACGTAGATGCTACAGGTTTCTAACATAATTTGGATGCCTATAAACTTGGAAGATGTTGAAGAGGATTTCTAAATTTGATGAGAGAGCTGGAGCTAATGGGCTCTAAATTTTCTTCTAAATTATATGTTTATATGACTTCCACATTTATGTCATCTCTTGGGCACAAAAAAGACCCTTTAGCTCTATCAGAAAACATTTTCTCTAACAGAATAGTGAGGAAGAAGATACTGTTTTAAGACAGAAATTTCTTTAATTTCTGTTTAATTTCTGTTTTAAGACAGAAATTTAAAATTAAGAAATTTCTTCATATAGATTTGGACGGTGTGGAATAAATACTCTCTTTAAAAACTAAGACTGATTTAACAGACGATTATATAATCCAAACATAAAATCACCAATATTACTTTATAATTATGCCCTATGAAAACACTTACAATGAGTTCACTCACTCCCTACGAAGAAGCACTCTGGTTGTGTGTGGAGCTCTCTCAACACAAACAACTCTAGGAACTGCAATTTGGTGATCTCAGTTTATAAGGGAGTCACATGCCTCCTATACAATACATATTTTTTTGTATATGTGCAGTAAAATGTAAAGAAAATCTATTTTTTGATGTCTTGAAACAATAATATGTAAGCCATGGAAGGAAAACACTCCAAAAAACTATACATGTAAAATATTCAATAAATAACATTTTTTAAGTTATAAAATACTATTAAAATTTCCATCTTCTTTGATATTTCTATAGGTACAGTTTTGCATTCAGGTAATAGCACTGAATAAAAATCTAAAGAAAACATATTGCCAAGAATTGGACTAAATATTTCATTGTAAAACAAGTAATACATACTAGAAAATAATGTCTCTATATGGAAATTATGGTGGTATCTAAAATTGTGTGATTATCACCCTAGACTAATGAAAAGCAGTGAAGGTTAGTGGCTAAGAGTCAAGTCATAGAGACAGGCTCCCTGGGAATAAATGTATACCCAGTCTTTTATTAACTGAATGGTGTTTGGCAAGGCAGTTATCATTTTCAACTTTATAAAAGAGGGATAAGAATAGCAATTCATTCAGAGGATTATTGTGAGGGTTGCAAAATAGGGTCATAGTAACCCATTTAATAAAATGCCTGACCTGCAGGAAATGTATAAAAACTTTTGCTATTTTTTGAATACACTAAATTTCAATTGCCTTTAAAATATAGAATTGATTGTCTAATCGAATTGATTATTTATCTTGGTGTTGGCTGCTCAAAATACAGAATTATAGTGCTAATTTTAATAAATCAAGTAATATATCTTTGTGCAGTAATCTATTTCAGGTCAGTGTATTCTGACATGTTTATTTAGTACATTCTCTACGACAGAAAAACCATTAAATGTGTAACTTATCAATTAAGACCATTTGTGTGGAATTTCAGCTATACATATGAATTAAAATAAAACTGACTACTATTAACTATGTAAGAAATACATTTATCTACTATCATTTTTCTTATATAAAGCTAGTCAAATGTTTCATACCCATTAATTGGATCCACCACAATTCCTCTGGGATGAGACATTTCACCCTCTAAAAGAGTCTTCCGACTCTGAGAAGCTTTTTCCAGCCTGGCCACATTAATGGTTTTCCTATGGCCATCGTTGGTCCAGTAAAGATTATTTCCAATCCAGTCCACAGCAATGCCCTCTACATTATCCAGATCTATATATATACATAAAAGCAAAAACAAGAAAGAAACTGCTTTTACAATTACAGTAAAATTAGTGTTCACTACTAATATTCTACCTAATAAAAACTTTAGTTCAAAAAGGAATGAACTCTGATCCATGAAATCTTTATGGTGTAATTTTTGCAAATGTCACTATTTTACAGAATACTTTTCAATTTTATTTTGAATGTCTTTTTATGTGAATAATAGGCCCTCTCTCAATTGTACATAATGTTAACAAATTAATCATGGTCATTAACTCAGATTTTAATTGAACCTCAATTTATTGTAATTCAGTGATCTGCAGAAAAATGGAACATGTAAGTGATAGGAGTGAAAAAGCTTGAATATAAGTGACAAATTCAGCAACATAGACTGTTCTGAAGAAAAATCTACTAGTACTGTGTCAGCGTGTTCAAACTTGTAATATGTAATCTGAGTAATCCAAATAATATGAATGTCCTCTTGCCCAAGGATGAACAGTTTCAGCAGGAGCACAAGTATGAAAGCCCAGGACAGGCTTTCATCCCAGAACTGCGTCCACAGTGAATCGCAAGGAATCGCTGAAATACTTCTATTTTAGACTTACCTTACAAAGAATACTATTACAAGATTATGTGAGATACAGGCAATGATAATTCAAATGTAACAGACAAATAATAATCCTAGGAGTTCACCTAATGCAAACCCTTTATTTTATAAAGGGGGGTAACAAAAACTTCAAAGTGAAGGCAGTTACTTATAGTCTATTATCGTTCATGAAGGCGTAGCAATTGGATAAAAATCCAAGCCTTATGACCCACAGTGTGGAAACGCTCAAAACAGCACAGTTCCTAGGGTAACTTTCTGTAGCATCCTGTTGTTGCTTTTTGTCATTTTGTAAACCACACTTCAGCCTACAACATTACAACGACAATTCCATTCTCCTATTGCAGGAAAAATTGCTATGAACTCCTTCTTTTCTCTCAAAACCATGGGAGTCTACACCGACTTCCTCTTTTCCTTTTTGGCATGAGTTACAGAACTGGAATTTACTGGACAAAAGCAATAGGTAGTATATGTTAGAGAAGGAGCTGTGTATTCACACACTACAAGGAAATCTATATCACATTTCCCTGTATGCAGACACAAAGGATATTTAAGATTATCATGTTGTTTAATCATAGTCTTTCTGGCTCAGGACAAAACGTACAATTTTCCCTTGTAACCCTTATTGCTAATCAACATGTGTCATGATTCAGAATGACTGATACAAAATGTGATCTGATCTAACTGAAAATCCCATTATAGTGAATCAGATATGTTCCCAATTTCACTAAGTTATCTGCTTCATTACTATCCAATATGAGTAATTTTCATAGGTTAATTGTGCCTGTGCTTAGAAAAAGAAGTTTAATTTCGTCTTTACTTATTGCCGCTTAATTTTCCTGAGCACTTTCCTATTCTTGCATAATGGAACGAGAGTAGTTATTTACTCTTTTCTATTTATTATAGTCTATAGCTGATTTCTATCTTAGTTGGTTTTCAAAAATTGAATTACATTTGAAATCTGTTCCAGTATAAAAAAGTCTTCATGCTGGATAACCCTCTTATTTTTGAAACTTTTCCTTTTAATATATGACTAGAGATTTATTTTTTTTTTCATATGAAGCAGTTACAATGCTGTATGGATGAAATTTTTGTTTCTGACACTTGGGTAAGCAAACTCAGTGATGCATCAGGAAAGTGAAGATTATAATAGTACCTACCTTATAGGGTGATTACAAAGGACAAACTATTAATAGCTACTGCATGTAAACATTTAGTATATTTCCTGGAATACAGTAACTTCTCAGTTCATGTTAGTTTTTATTAACCTATGAGGATTAAAAAATATTTTATATCTCTTCTGTCTCCTTTCTTTAAGGATACTACTTGATAGGAATATATCTTATGTTTTTTGCCTTTAAAATGCTTTTTTCTGTATTTTCTTGCATTTTTACCAGTGACTAACTTTGACTAAAAATAGTCTATAAATAAATATATGTGATATTCTTAAAATAATGGTTGGCACATACTAAATAATACATAAATATAATGATTATTATTCCTGTAATAATATCACTATAATTTCTGTATAATCTTTTCTTTTTATTATTATTATTATTATTTTTGAGACGGAGTCTCGCTCTGTCGTATAATCTTTTCTTAAGCAAGATATCTACTGTATTAAGATAGTAATAAAGGAATTAGCCTAGAGTATTTTCTAAGGTTGTTTTCTGTTTGTGCTTTGATTTATTTTTCTATTATAGGGAGAATGACAATGAATAAAAATTTTAAAATAAGAAAATGTATGAAAAGATCTATGAGCAAATTGGGAATCTTTTTAGGTTATCTTTAATAGGGCAAGGAGGAATTTCTCTCATGCAGAACAAAGCTTGAACAATCAATTACTTCCTTTCTCAACAAATATACATTGATAAGGGAAGCATTCTGCTTCCACATTATTTGATCTCTGCTTTAAATTAACTTATAAATTAGATCGAGAAGTTATACATATAGAACACCAGTCTTATGTACGTTTGATATTTTATTCAAAGGGGTCTGTTTGGGCCCTGCCTGAGACTGACTAACAATGACTCTATGAACAAAAGCCCTTTAACCAGATCAGGGACATATGAAGGTTATGGCATTCAAAGGCCAAAAAAACATCAGTGACTACAGAGAGTCCAATTATTAGCTTGAGAAAACACATGATATTAAAATGCAAGGAAGATGTTCGATAAAGAAAAACTTGGTAGAATAGATTGTTTTGTGTACTTTGGGATAGAGTTCAAGTATCCTACATTACAGAATTCATATTTACTACTATTTATTATTATTATTGCATAACTAATAACAAACAAGAGCATGACTATATTAAAAATCTGGTCAAAATCTCCCTTAGCTTTCACAAAATACCCATTTTCATGCATCAACAGGCAAGGAATCAACATACTTGTTCTTCTTCAGAAAAAAAAAAATCCAGTAGATAATTATTCTAAACTTTGTTTAGATTAATATTATGTCTATATTTTTCATGCTAAGTGAAGACATTGCATATTTACTCATATTCAGAAAATAAAGCCTTTTCATGCATTCTGAAAACTTAATATATTATTTTTCTCAAATTATTAATATTTCTACAACATGCTATCTTTGTAAACATTGTTCTAGCAATTTCAAAATAACTTGTATGAATGGAGTAATATATAAACAGTACACTAAATACCCACACACTCACACATCTAATTCAAATTTAGGATTAATAATGAAATGCATGGTTTACTTAAGTGAAAAACTCCTTATGTTAACAATATTATTTCCCATAAAAGACACCTACCACTAAGGAAATGAGGATAAATAATATATAATAAAATTTATATAAATTTTAAAAGAATAATGATGCGGATTTAAAAAGAATAAATAGGACCATTCTTCAAATGAATGTAATACTTTGGACTACACCAAATAAACATTTTTAAAGAAAGTGGTTTTGGGAGAAAAACATTTTTCTAAAAAGAAAACTTCATTACAGGTCTGATTTTTAGATGTTACACATTCATGGGACAGAAGACTAAAGTTTTATATACTTAAAATAAAATTGCATACTTTTAAATTGGGTCCATGATTTTTTTTTACAAGAAAGGATGTGAGCAGTGGCCTTATTTTTGTTATGGTACATGAGCAGGACCTCCAAAAATGATCCGTAGATCTTGATGCTTTACAACAGAACTTGATGCATATAATAAGAAATTAATTAAAAATTATACCCCAAAATAGCCATTATAAAATCAGAGTTTCTACATTTTTCTACCTTATACAAGTTTATCCAGCGTTATCTATCCTTAGCATGAACATTATTTTTCTGAGTTGTAATGAAAGTGTCTACATGAGTACAGAGTATGGTAAAGTACCTTAAATGATTAAATTTGCATCATGCATGCAGACATGCTTAAAGTCAGCAATGCCTTACCTCAACCTAGAGTCAACAGTTGGACAACTTTCCTGTCTCCTATTCTTGTAGTTCAATTAACACAAATTCTCTTTGTGCATTTCAATATGGCTTGAGGCTATAAATAGCTCATATGTATCCGACATGAGTAAATGACATTGATTTAATTAATAGTGTAGCAGTAAAATTTGCTTGCTGAATAAGCTGTCTCTTGGGGTTTCAAGGGTCTCTGGTCACAAACTAAAGATACTATCTGTCCCTAATGGCCAGTTGAGGGTGATGTTTCTCATTCTCATTTTCATTCCAGATTTCTCCTTAGTTGTTAGGTCAAGGAGGGTGAATACGCAAGCCATTCTCACTCAGTACAAAATACCTTGATGTTATATTCAAAGAGATATGTTGAGTGCATATAAGGGTCTTATTTTCCAGAATAAACAGAATATATTAAAACATAGTGGTTTCCTTTCATTATCCAAATGCAGACTGTCAGTTTCAATGGGTCTGGGGATACAGATCATCACTCTATGATATTCAGATATTTTATCTTTGATACGATGAAGACATGGACAAGTAAAGATAGGGCCATAGTATGCATCATAGTTACCAATAATCTACAGTGACAATTAAAATGAAAGATTCAGAATGGTTAAGGACTGAGATTTTTATCATACTTTCAAGCTTATAAGTTTGTCTGTTTTTTTTTTCCATGATTTCTGGTAGAAGATACAAGACTTGTGGAACCGATATAAAAGATTTTATTACTCATGGCACAACAAGCAGCATGGTCATCAGCAGAGTGGTGTCAGTTCCTTTTACTCCAAAGTCCACAGGGGCAACTGGGAGGGGTCCATATGGATGCTTTCATACACTGTGGGTGGCATTACAAGAGAGGAATTCTGAGTTTAGAAAATCAAAGCCTATTACAATGGGCAGTAAGAAGGCCTGCTGTTTTCACTGGCAGGTGACTCTGTCTCTTTCTCTCAATACTCTTTGCTATACAAACAGTCTTGAAAAGATACT